GGGTCAAATAGTCGTGGTCAAGTCAAGAGCTTGACAAAATATGTAAATATATTTTGTCGAGCCCTTGACCAACCAATTCAGTCATGGGGGTCATGCCCCCCCCTGGATCCGCCGTTGTATCATCTCATCTATACAGGGGCTAAAGATGGACGTGGCAAGGGAAGTGGAGCAGAAGAGGCAAGAGGGGAACAAGAAGTACCATTTTGATGATAGCTACCCCCTAGACCTACTTTAGGTCAAGGCTGGCGACGCGTCTTGTTATATGTTAGCAGAGATCTATCTCAATTATTTATAAATGTGTTTGTTGTTTAGTTTTAGCTTATAAAATAAACGAGACAAATCATTTCGGAGTAAAAGAGATAGAAGGTATTATTGGTGCGAGGAATCAGATACGAGCATCGGGTCAAGTGCGATTGATAACACGTAGGATGGGTTACTCAACAGAACGGCGGCACGAAAACTTCTAACTTCAAGATAAAGTTACCGAATATTATTACATACTGTTTAGTATTATGCTAAGAAAGTACCTTTCCGACAATTATGAAAAATGCAATTGTTTTTGGTGAAATATTAAATCAAATAGTATTACAGAGTAACCAGAAAAAACTAAAGGCATATTCTTCATTTACGATATGTTTTTATTTTCATATAAAATTATCTTGAAAAATACACGATTTGTTATTTTTAAAAGGCTAAGCTTGCCTCTGACAAGCTCTTGGCTTCACGTCTGTACCCATTTAGTTCAGTCGTAACATAAACGGTAATGTCTTGAAAAATGTCAAGCAAACGTTTTATTGCTCTGTTCACAAACAAGCGGCATAACGAGGCGAAACAAATGATAGTCGGCTTGGGCACAGCCGTGCTCACTGAATGTCGGTAGGGTAAAAAATATATTTCAAGATCTTACATACTATATGTGGATTTTAATGAAAAAGCTAGCAATAATAAAAATACCAAAGCAAGGTTTAATAAGGGTAACATAACAAGAGAATAGATATAAAAAATAACCAATAATTTAATGCATTTATTTCTTAACTTATACTTAAGTAATTATTAACGTTGACATTACTGTATTACATTTTGTTTTCTATACACATATTAAATATCCCCTTAAGTTTTAATTTAGTTAAAGTTGTATGTGGTGTTTTTTGCTATTTTGTTTTTGTAGGTTCCTTAAAAATGATTGCATAGTAAGTACGAACGTACAATTTAGTTATTTTATTTCCTAACATGTCTGTTCACTTTGCCATATATTTCAGGGAACGCGTCCTTACAGAAAAGTAACGTTTCCCTTAGTTTATCGTAAAGCGTGTGGTCGAACATTTGCCTGAACTCTTCCAATGTCGTGTATGTATCCGCGTATAGCATTTGAAAACCCTTGTTCTTGATCACGAAATCTTCTACGCGTCGTGTTGAAGGGACCTTTAAAGATAACAAACTGCTGTATTTTCTCTATATGTGACTTGCTGCAAGTTCGGAATGTCACTAAAACTTGCAGGTTAAAAATTTAATTAGGTTAAAAATGGAATTCAGTACTGATTATACTGTGCTATTTATAGTTATTAGTTAAGTAATCTTTTGTTTATTAGACTTAATAACAGTATTTGCTTACTGTCTCAAAGCCCTTTGCTTTAGGCACGCCGTAGATGCCAATATCCACAAACATCTGCCAGTCTGGTGACGTCACGCGCAACTGTCCGGGCTGACGGAACACTTTGAATGGACATAACCAAATGGGGTACACCTGGAAAAAAACAAATTCTTTTATATTGGTTCAAGAACACCAACTATTTACTCTGTGTAAAGTTTAGTCTATGGTATACGTCACCTGGAATTCTCTATGGATGCAATCAACCGCACTCTCCAGCTTGTCTATGGGCAGCAGCATGTCTTGTATCACGTGTGCGCGGTCGTACAGCTTCCCGACTGCCTCGGGCTGGGTCAGCTTCAACAGCGACACCTCGGGAGGCATCAGCCAGCCGAATAAGTACCGGAATATCGGATGGTTGCCGAATGATATTATATCCTGATAAAAGATGGCGTTGTTACTAGAATTAAAAAAGCAGTACAAGTAGAATGGTTAAATTGTGACAAATCTTACTGATCCTACTAATATTATAAACTGGCTTTCGCACGCGAGACTGTCTGCGTGGAATTAAAAAAAAAGTATCTAGCCTATTAGTTCTTCCAGATTATCCTCTAAATCTATGACAAATTTAATTGAGATCCGTTCATCAGTTTAGGGTACAAACTCTAAAAATCATCCATCCATCTAAACTTTTGCATTTATAATATTAGTAAGATGTGAAAGTTTAGATGGATGGATGGATGTTTATTAGGAAGAACATATAGACTACTGTTTGCTTTTGTTTTTTTTTTCATTGTCGCGGGCAATAGTTAGTATGATATAAAATGGGTAATTAGTTTTCCAGTTTTTTCGTAACATTTACCTGGAGTTCCCAGAACAGACTACGAGTATGTCGATGATAGTAATGTCGTAATGGTATGTATTCCACAACTGTGCTGCGTTCACCTTGCTGGTAGTTCTTCAAATGTCGTTGGACTTGTGTGAAGAACCATTCTGAATACCATTTACCGATTGGATTTACCTGAAACAAAAAACATACCAGTAGCTGGCACATATGCATTCAAGCTACTGTCACATGTCTGCAGCTGACATGTGTAAACGGTATACAAGTAACACTATATTTCATTTTATCGTATGCGTGTGTCGTACACATGTCTCAGCTCATAGTCTTATAAGCTATATTTTTCTGTATGTGTATTCCCACCCTTAAAGCTGACTAACCTTGTTCAAAGAACTGTTAAACTCTTGGAATTCAGGATTGGCTTGAATGCTACATTACCTTTCCATCAGAATCCTCTTCATCAACCATATCTCCTGTCATCACAACTCCGGCCTCTTTACTAAAGAGCAGAGCTTCGATAAATTGATGTGGTTTTTCTTTTAATGATTCTTGGCTCAGTCTTTTTGATAACTCCGATAATGATGTATATGGATGGTATTCTAAACGAACATATCTGGAAAACAATAGACAAATATACTTATTTCAATCACAAATAAGTAATACACATTAAAATACATTTTTTTTTAATTCTACATCTCTTACTTCTTCGCTGGCACTAATTTTATAACCGCTGATGTTAAGAATCCCAGAGTTCCGTAAGACCATGGCACAGCGTAGAAAAGTTCAGGATGTTCAGACTGGAAACAAATAATATTATTAGTGTGAAGAAGTAATCGGTATCGTATCGGAGTAGCGGCACAACACTAGATCATGGGCATATACGTCGCGTCCCTATGACTACTGTCAATGTCATTCAGAAGGATGAAGGACAAGCGCGCCATTTTGGTGGGAATCGGTAGACTGTGTATTAAAGATAATTACGTTGTTACAATTATATTATTGTCTAAAACTGGTTGAGTTGCTTATCATAGTTATAATAAATAGTGTCGTTACCTTACTACAGGTAACGACCGAGCCGTCAGCGAGTACGAGCTCGTATTCTGTACATATGTGCTGGAACAATCCATGGATGTGAGAAGAGGTTTCCACTCCTGTCCCCATTACCAGACCGCCAACCGTGAGCTGGTCTAACTCTGGCACGACAGCGAGTGCCAACCCTAATGGCTCCAAAGTTCGCGATAACTGCCCCATTGTCACTAGCGGCTCGCATCGAACTGTCTAGAATGTTAGAATAACGAAAGTCATCTTAAAAAACTTAATAAAAAAATTTAACGTGGTTTAGTTGTTACGAAACTTTTTTAACTAATTTCAGAGGTGCATTGAAGATTATATTTCTAACGGCCTAAATTATTTCCACTTCTACCTACTTACCAAGTTCTTTGTATCGACTTCTAGGATATCGACCAAGTTTATATTAATATTGGTAAATGTCTTCTTGTAGATGGCCTGTCTGAAGGACATGGTCTGCCAACCAGGCCGGGAGGTGCACAGCTTTGTACTACGGTCGCCCTTTAACCATTCATTGATCTGGAAATTACGAGAAATATGGTATATATAAACTTATCAATACTTTTAAAAAAATCTGCTGACAATATCGCAATTTAAAAACTACAGCATTTGCTCGTCGATCGCCTTTTTTGAAAAGATAAATTCGTTAAGATTCAAGTCTCAGTATTTTCAATTTTAAATCTGTCCTCAGCCAAGCCAACGTATAAATATTGTAAACCAATTCTTTATTATTCACATTAAACTTTTATGAGTCAAATATCAGGCGAAATACAATATCTATGAATAAAGACCCTCAACTGACAGACCTGTGAAGGAAAAACATTGATATAACTGATATAAAAAAGCATCCATTGTCTTCAATAAAAATAAATTACTTATCGAAATGTAACGGAAAGTATAAAAATTATTATCCTTCAACAAAATTGTTCAACCAGTTTTAAAAATTTTTACACTATCAAAAATTTTTCTTTTTCTTGGAGCATTGTACGCTATTACTCGTATTTATTTAACTGAAGGAAACCTACTTAGAGTGGGTAGTTTATTTTTATCACATCAGAGATCTTGTCATTTCTATTAGTAATTTAGATAATCGAGACACACATTAGGGAAAGCCAGAACAAACCTGTCTCTGAACATCTTTGACTTTCTTGTCGTGTTGTTTGGGTGCGCTGTTCATTTTAAACACCACGTAGTTCCTGAACGCAGACCATATCTTCCAGAGGAAGGACATGGGCAGCAAAGCGCAGATAACGATCACCCAGCGATATTCCACGAGGATGTACTCCGCTAGACTCTCCGTCTGCATACCCGTCATTTTGACTCTGGAATTATTTCTTAATTTAAAAAAATATATTGTGCTCTTATGCTGGGTCGCTGCAGTTTCCATTTATTTTAGCATTACCTATTGATTCATTTGCTAGGTTGAATTAGTCAACTTTAGTCCCTTTTTATTTTATAAGAAGACGATGGGAAGGGAACGTGGATTTGACGGTGCGGGAAACGCATAGAAAAGGGGAAATGTCCTCTTTATGTGCGTCTGCTCTGTCGATTAAGGGTATGCAACGCATCCACTATTGCGAATGTCTATGGGCAGCGATCGCTTCGCTAGTTTGGCGGATTCAGGTGGCCGCTAGTTCGTTTACCACCTTATATAAATAAAATATCAAAGGAGTAAAACTCAAGTTACGTAGTTCAGAAACCCTAAATAGGTTGAAGTTATCGAACTAAAAACACTAACGAATGGTTAAAAGTAGCTGGAAAACTAGCCATTAGAGCATCTTGAGACAGAAAACGAATATCATTATTGATGCTATTCGATTCTGTGACATTGAAACGAGAATTTACAATTAAAAAAAATGTAAATTACATACTCACGTTTGTACACGTCAGTCCGGGTAGGCAGACTTCTGTAAACTGATTGCCAAGGTCGGATAATCAATGCAAAATGATACTCATATCATATCAGATTTTAAACCTTAATTCAACAACAATAAAGATCATCTCGAGAAACATTGTCACATAATCAAAAGGAATGTGATTACAGTACTTAAGGCGAATAAAAAAGGCAACGTCTAGTATCTTTGACCAATAAATGTTGACGCAGGACATCTTTAGTTTATCAAAATTGTTATCTAAAACGCAGATTATCTTTTACTTAAATCTTACGTCAAATATTTGTGATTATTTCTAAATTTCAACTAAAAAAAAGCCTTTAATATTAAAGGACTTATTAAGGGCTATATTTCCTCAGTGAAAGTCCAGTCGAAAACGGCTCAGCCGTTTCGGAGATTACCCGGAACAAACGAGGCTTGTGGGCAGGAAGAAAAAAAAAATTAAAAATGCGATTTTCGTTATCAACAACGCAATTATATAATTATTATTTTTATTCCTTAATTCGATAGTAGCCAGTGCGTAAACAACTCATTTTAAAAAATCTACTGAAATAGTTTAGAGAAAATTACGCGAGATTTTGATTTTAGTGTGTTCGTAACATATATTTTTTGCTACAAAGAACTGCGTCGAATTAAGGGTTAAAAGAAGTTTATTCGCTACTTTCCTGTGGGATTATAAAATGTCAAGTAAAATAAAAATTAAACCCAAGTTACTTAGTGATAATGTATTTTTTTTACTTAAAAAAAAAACTTATCTTTTTATAGGATTTCCGATGCAGACATTTCTTAAAATGAATCAGCATCGTTAAAATTTAATTATCGTTAGATTATAACACCTGTGCGATTTTTATAGATAAAAGCATAACTAAGATTATGCTCCTTTTATTATCACAGGTGTACTGTTATCTTGACGTAAGTTAAATATCATAAATAATTATTGAATAATTATTTAGAAACATCATTATATTTATAAAAAGTAGAAAGATTTTTTGTATAATCGGAAGACAAAAATATTGTTTATTGATTCTTATTTCTAAAATAAAATACTCTGTAGTAATAGAAAATATATTTCAACTTAACAAAAATAAATGCTTAAAAATCCATATCATGTCTGCCATAAAACACCAATATCACCAAAGCTGCAAAGTTTTATAACCAAAAACGTAAAGATTACAATTTTGATTTAAGATTATTAGAACCCTCGTGGGAGACTGGTATAACAATATCACGTTTGATAACAGGCTGTCTCGTTGCTGTAATTGTAAGTAATCCATTCGGAGAGATCTTTGATTCAACACTTTCTGGAAGACATCCTTCGGGTAATGCATACCGGCGTACAAATTGCCTCGAAACAAACCCGTACTCGTCCTGTTTTTCTTCATGTTGCCCTTTAACTATAATATAACCATCCGCCGTCTTAATAGATATTTCTTCAGGTTTAAAATCATGCAAACTCATGTGAATTTCAAATTTATCTCTTTCTGCGCTCACAGAACTCTCATTACGCCACGGGAAGTTTTCAAGCCAATCTATAGATCGTAAAACCACTTCATCACCGAATAAATTTTGGCTGGAGGGCCACAGTGACATTTTTAACTCTTGGAATTCCAGAAAATTCAAGAACGCAAATTACAATGTAAGAAATTCTATAACGCAAGTTGAAGTTGACATGAAAACTCTTTTATGAAAAAAGAAGAAAAACATATACATTGACACTTGTAAAGTGACGTGAAAAAATTAATTAAGAAAAAAAATGTAATTTGTCATAAATATCTGTCGTGAAGTATAAAATTAAATAAACTGTGTTATATATCTCTGCTTTAAATATTTTAAATATATTAGGTTACGGACCCGCACAAAAATGAATGGAATCGTAGGGAAGCTACAAATCGGTCTCCTAGATGGAAAAAATTGGGACACCTGGAAATACAAAGCCCTGTGCTTATTACGCACCGAACCGTCGGCTCTTGAAATAGTACAAGGTTCGTTCCAGGAACCCACGCGTCCACCTAAGGGATGCGGCGATGCTCAATTAACGACTTATCAAGAGGAAAAAGATAAGTATGATAAAGCAGATGCAAATGCTATCCTGATTCTAACAACTAATATGGAAGAGGAGACTCTCAGAAAAGTTTTGCGGTTTAATAAAGCACGAGATGTTTGGTTAGAGC